GATGTTGAGGAAGGAGTTCAGATCATGGAAGTCTAGCGTGTAATAGAACATAAGCCCGCAGACAAAGGGGTGGAGTAGAAACCCTAGCCCGCGGAGGAAATGAGGGATGAATACTACCCTCTCGCTGGGCTTCGATGTGGGGGCGATTTGCCCCTGGGCTGGAAGATGGTGGGCGATTTCCTTCGCTAGGTACCCGGCCGCCCGAAGCTCGGCAATGTCCTCCTCCTTGACGGAGGAGGCCATCCACTTGCCTTGACCTCCGAATCCAGACATGGTTGAGTGCTTTCTCAAAGTGGGAAAAATGAGAACTTGGGCACTGGAGCTCAAGAGTGGAAGGGCAGAGGATGAGAGAAGGCGTGGGAGAAGAAAGGGGATTCTTATCTCCTCATAAGGGCAGTGGATATTGAAGGCCTCCCCACTCGCCTTAAAATTCGCCTACTCCCAAGGGCTGTGTAAACGACACGGTTGGGTTACCCACGCCCGTATTGATGAGAATCCCGCAATAAGGGGACACGATCTCTGCTTCGGCAGGACGTGCCAATGGCAACCGCGTCTCGAAACATGGAGCGGCAGGCAAAAAACGGTTCAAAATTATGACGGGCATACGTGATGTCATGTTGTAAAAAGTTTTCAGTAGATTGGACTCGTGGATTATTATATTCTCTCTGCGTTTGTGTGTGTGTTACAGGTCCGGACACGATCAATACATCCGAAGACTATCTTGGAGTTCGGAAGGAGGAACCCGCCTTGCAATACCGAAGACAAATCTACGCGCCGGATACCTTGTCATTGAAGCCAGGTTCAGGGGCTACTGAGGGGGTCCTGGACTAAGGGGTCCTCAAGCGTCCGGCCTGTTAGCCATGGGCCGGACTGATGGGCTGTGAAGAACACGAAGATCGAAGACTGCACCCATGTCCAGATGGGACTCTCCTTGGCATGGAAGGCAAGCTAGGTGACCAAATATGTAGATTCCTTTCTATGTAACTGACCTTGTGTAACCCTAGATCCTCTCGGTGTCTATATAAACCGAAGGACTTAGTCTGGAGGAGGGAGATATTCATTACCATAGACGGCCTAGACCTTTAGGGTTTAGTCATTATGATCTCGTGGTAGATTAACTCTTGTAATACTCATATTCATCAAGATCAATCAAGCAGGACGTACCTCCATAGAGAGGGCCCGAACCTAGGTAAACATCGTGTCCCTTGTCTCCTGTTACCGTCGACCTTAGACGCATAGTTCGGGACCCCCTACCCGAGATCCGCCAGTTTTGACACCGACGGGCACCTCTTCCCATTGCAAGCTAAATAGATCAAGTTGGCCAAACAAAACCCAAATATCAGAGAAGAAATACGAGGCTATAAGAGATCATGCATAAAAAGATCAAAGAAACTCAAATACTTTCATGGATATAAAAACATAGATCTGATCATAAATTCGAAGTTCATCGATCCCAACAAACACACCACAAAAGAGTTACATCATATGGATCTCCAAGAGACCATTTTATTGAGAATCGAGAGAGAGAGAGAGAGAGAGAGAGAGATAGAGAGAGATAAAGCCATCTAGCTACTAACTACGGACCCGAAGGTCTACAAAGAACTACTCACGCATCATTAGAGAGGCACCAATGGAGGAGGTGAACCCCATCCGATATGGTGTCTAGATTGGATCTGGTGGTTCTGGACTCTGCAGCGACTGGATGGATATTTTGTCGACTCCCCTAGGTTTTTGGTATTTTGGGGGTATTTATAGAGCAAAGAGGCGGTCCGGGGGCACCCGAGGTAGGCACAACCCACCAGGGCACGCCTGGGTCTCCTGGCGCGCCCTGTTGGGTTGTGCCCCCCTCGGGACACCCCCAGGTGCAACCAGAGCCCATTGCCTTCCTTCTAGCACATAAAAAATCTTCATAAAGTTTCGTGGTATTTGGACTCCGTTTGATATTGATTTTCTGCGATGTAAAAAAACATGGAAAAAATAGCAACTGGCACTTGGCACTATGTCAATAGGTTAGTACCAAAAAATGATATAAAATGACTATAAAATGATTATACAACATCCAAGATTGATAATAAAACAGCATGGAACAATCAAAAATTATAGATACGTTGGAGACATATCAAGGGAGTGGACGATGTCACGGCAACGGTGACGACACGGTGACTGCAGCGGGTGGACGAGCTCCGGGCGAAGAAATCGAGCGAGGGAGTCGGGATCTGGGGTGCTAGGGTTTCGGGGGAGGATGAGAGGGGCAGGGGAATCATCCTTATCCAGCAGGGGGCGGGGGAATGGCCTCACGTGGGCGGGGGCACCATGGATGCCCACCACGGCTGCCTCCTGCACCCACATTGTAGCGGGGGAGAAGACATGGGTGATGGTAGGCTAGGCCTTATACTGTAGAATTAAGCCTAAGTGCACAGTTGGTGCTACCTCTTTATCTTTTCTTTTTCTTTTTGGTTTTTCTACATTGTTTTGCATTAAGTAGAGCCACCAATTGTTTTTTTAAGTGTAACTTTCCACATAATTCAAATTGCATTAAATCGCACTGCCACAAATAGTTTGAACCTCATTTGAATTCATTTGATTTTTGGTTTGAATTTAGAAGTGATGGAAGGGTGTTGTCGGGTCATTCAAAAATAGCTAGGGTCATTTTTGGAGTCTCAATTAATGTTGGTTTTGTTTTTATAATAGCTTTAGAAAATTTTGCAATATTACAAACATTTTAGTTTTACTGCTTGAAGAAATAATTTATTCTACTTTATTTTAAAATTGAAAAAGGCTTTATTTTTTTATCAAGTGGCAATTTGGCTTAGCTAAACTTGCTAACATGACATCTTAGTGGAAGATTACTGTAGCAAGATTCTCGGGGTGTTACACCGTGGGGTGAGCGAGTGATGAACGGGTGTAAAACATTCTGAGGGTCTTGGGGTACATGCAAGAGTGGGTGGTTTCATATATGAATTTACAGCGGACAAGTGAAAACGAAAACTTGGAGAGTTGGGAATCTGGTTGTCAATATCCCCGCCACAACCCTTCTCACCAACTATTCCAAAATCGGCTATCCCATGACCCAAACGTGCCATCGAGACGAATGACCTACAGTAGACCTTGCCTATGACATGTTTACCATGAAGAGATGTGTTTCCATACCCCTTCCCCTTAAAACTTGTAAATGGTATTTCCATCCATCCAATTAATCATCTGAACTGTCAGGCAATTAATCACGAATTACAATCTTCTCCTAGAAAAAATCACACCTTCATGCATGATTTACTAGTTTGATGTCGCGTCGTACTTGTTGGTTCCCACCGGTCGGGTGGGTGGCCCTGCACCCGTTTCTGACTTGCTACCCCAGCCCACCAGACACCGCCCATGCATCCCTGCACGGCACATTCCCTACCCGCTCACCACCACACCTTACCCTCCCTCTCCTTGTGGATTCACACATGCGCGCCAATGCTCAACCGCTTTGGCCCCATGAATACCTCGAGGGGCTCAGGAGTCATCCAGCCAAGAACAAGAAGCTCTGAAACAGGCACGACCCCGCGCTGCTCCTAACAACATCCCGATTCCAGAGCAGAGTATTACACATGAATTCAGGTGTCAAGTTAATACTTTCTTGGACCAATGATCTCTCTATTTTCCTAATTGATTGAAATTCTCCTGTCTTAATTAAGACAAGAAAAATCTAGTCTTAAATTTGAATAAGAACACCAACTTGAGCACGACGCCGAAGAACTACACTGCACGGTGGATGGCTAGATGAGTGTGAATTACTAATTAGCTATCGATCAAGAGCATCAGTAGGTTGTCTAGTGACGCGCGCTATTAGGTCATGGCATTCACGCCCAGCACGCCCAGCAACCGGACAAGGACCACCACACCCGAATTTCTGTGACATTGCATTGGGCTACAATTGCTTGGATCTAAGTTGCCATTCACAAATTGTCAACAAAACATCGTCTGCATAGCAACACTTGTTGCTTGGGGATGCAACTTTTTTAACATGTAAATCGTCTATAACTTCCCCTTTGAAGTGAGATTTAAGTTTTTAATCTAGACCATAGATCTGTGTCACTTACTATAAACTTTTCTAAGGGGGGTCGGTGTAGCAAACTATATCTCTATGATGAAGATGGAAAGTACTAAGAATGGCAACTTGGCATCATGAGTGAGTTAAAATACGATTTGAGTTTTCTACTTGATCCGGGGGTGAGCCTATCGTGGTGTGTGTTCTCAGGTGGTTGGCTTCGCACTTCAATTTTTGGCAGACTAGCTTAAACAAAATCTTAGGGAATAATTTGTGAATATGGTTGCTCGTATCCCTCCACACCCTTTCTCTCCAACCATTCTAAAATTAGCTATCCCATGAATCAAATAGTGTCTTCAAAATGAACCACCTCCGGTAAACCTTATCTATGACATGTTTACCATGAAAAGTGCTAAAAATGACAAATCGATATCATCTGTGAGTTAAAATAGCATATGTTGACCTTTGTTCTCAAACAATTCAAGACATCAAAGAACATCAGCATGCTCACGAGTTCTAAATGAAATTATCAAATCAATCAAAAGTGATCTTACAACATTCTTTGACAAAATAAATCTCAAACAAGAGTTCGATTTGAAATAAACAGGACAAGATGTTTTGATCCAATGTAGGTTTCTAGAGACCATATTAGAGTTCTGAACCATACATGATGTTCCTTAATTATTGTAAGCTGCTAGTTCCTTAATTCTCAGTAAATTCATCACTGAAAAACTACTTTTTATGAAGTTCCCATGAGCGAAGAAATCTTAATTTCTCTTTGACCTATGGTATGCATCATCTAGAATCCTGGGTACCTGGCATAACGTCCTTCTGGAGGTGTTGCTGTGCTTGAATTGGATTTGTCAGGGACATTCGAGGTTGAAGATGAAGCAACACCATGGTCTTTGCAACTCTTATTCTCTTTGGATAATGGAGTTGAGCTGCTAATGTGGTGTTTGGTTTTAAATAGTTATTGTTTCAGAGCGTTAGAGTCATCATCATTGTTATTACCTTCAGGTAATCCTTCTTGGAACTCAACCTTATGCATGGCCGTAAGATTCTTCGCAGCTGTCACAACATGATTAGAAGAATCATCTGGTTCTTGAGGAATAGTGTCGCTTTCTGGTACGTGGGCATCTATCTCCATTTCATCCATGAAAGGTAGTGCAACATTCAAGTCGATGAGATTCCTGGCATTGGTGTCATCCTTGTTATGGAATTGCATTTCCATGTTATCTACACCCTTACTCGAGGATGTGTCATTTGTGCCCTTGTGCATAGTGCACGAGAGTTGAGGATCTTTCTCGGTGGTTGTATTAATAGGGGAACCAAGAATTTTTGAACTACCTTCTGAGTAAGCCATGGAACTAGGCAAAATCTGGGAATGCCCAGTTGGATAATTTGATGGCACTTGTGTCTTCTTCATGGAGATTCCCTTCCTCATGTTTAGCAACTTCTTTCTGATCCACGAGATTTCCATTGGGGTATCCTCTCTTGCTTCTCCTGGAGTGGCAGTTGCATCTCGAGGACCATTGCTCAGATTCATGTCCTCTACACAATTATAGAATTGGGATTGCTTTTGATATTGACCCCCTCCAGGTTGTGTAGTCTTTGGTGTTGGAAGGCGACTATATTCTTGTAATGTTGGAAGGCGACTATATTCTTGTAATGTTGGAAGGCGACCATTCTTGTAATCTTTAGTGTTGCTTTTCCGTAGAGATTTGGATGTAGCATTGGAGGTGGATGCTACAAATGTTTTTGGATTGCGGATGCTACAACTGGACATATCATTTGTAGTTGAGAAATCAACACTTTTTTTCTCATGTGTGAAGCATTCCATGACATTGCTTCGATCTATAAAAGGAAAAAATGTTACACTTACTGTGCATTGATGCTTACATAAAGCTATAACAACTACAAAATAAATTGAGAAATCTTACCATATTTTTTGTGGATGTATGAATTGTTATGTTGTGTTTCCTCATTTGCAACCAAGAAGTTTGAATCAATGGCTGCACCCTCATGCTTTCCTTTCAAGGTATCTTCTAAGCTTGGGAGGTTCAGGTCCAATCCTAGCGATGAATAACATTGGTTTTGGGAACTGGAGGCACCCACACTTGGGAAGTCTTCTATTTTCATACTACTAGATGACCCTACCACTTTTGTATTGAAAGCATTCAATGTTGAGACATGTGATTGTTGTAAACCACTACCATGGTTCTTTTTCACAAGCGAGGATGGCTCAATTTCAAGCTTCACATTTGGGAGGTTCAGGTTCACTCCTGCGACCGAATAGACCTGGTTCTGAGAACTTGAACTTCCCACACTTGGGAAGTTTGTTGTTTCCATAGTACAAGATGGCCCTACAACTTCTTTGTTCAAAACATCCATTGTTGATAGATCTGATGGTTGTAAACTATTGATCCACTTCTTATTCACGCGTGAGGAACCCTCACTGTTAAGCTTCACATTTGAACCAATAATTGAACCATTATTTCTTGGCAAATTGTCTGCAGACTTCTCTAATAGTATCACCACATCATCATCACAATCATAAACATGTGCACCAATTGGAACCAGAATGTTCTTCAAATTTGTACCAAGAATTGAACCATGCTTTCTTGGCAAACTTTTTGCAGGCTTCTCTGACAATATCACTACATCATCATCACTATCATTTGCATGTGCATCAGCTCGAACCTGAAGGTCCTTTGCATTTGTACCAATAATTGAAGCATTAGTTATTGGCCACCTATGTGCAGGCTTCTCTAATAGTATCACCACATCATCATCATTGTCATTGGCATGCGCATCAGCTGGAACCTGAAGGTCCTTCACATTTGTACAAGGATAGGAACTTTTATTTCTTACTGGACTATTTGTAGGCTTCTCCGCTAGTATCACCACATCATCATCACTATTATTGGCATGTGCATCATCTGAAACCCGAAAGGCTAGTTTTTCTTGTGTGGGCCTACTACTGCTATGCCTCATAGAAACTCCATTTGAACTACACACTAAATCTTTTCCCTTCATGAATTTTTCAGATGGTTTCTTCATATCATGTCCAGCAGGAGGCTCAACTTGCCGGACTGTTCTTATACCCCCATATGGTGATGAAGACATTTTCTCTTGAGAATGTGTACTTAATTCACCTCTTTGGCATTCTAATTCCATTAGGTTCTTTTGAACGTTGTACACACGGTGAAGTTCTATGACCTATAAAGATATCAAAACTTTATAAGAAATGAGAAACAACTAATCCATGGATAAGTATAAGAAAAACACACATTGTTTATATATCTAAGCAATGTTTTTTCTCCATAGAACTCAAAGCGTGTTAAAATCATAGCCTACCTGTTCCCGGAATGTAGCTTCTTGTGCAAGTATGGTCTGCTTTATCGTATTGTTGTCAAGATATCCAGATCCATTTGTGGGTGTTATTGTGAATATGTTACTGAGATGCTCGCTTGGCTTGTTCTCCATGTGTTATGATAACCAGTTGCCTTTCAAGTGTACATAAGAATATGTAATGGCCAATTATCCTGCAAGATAGATCTTGCCTTCAACTTCCGTTCCCAATGCTAATAAATATAAACAAATAAATGATGGATTATAATAATATCATCAAATATATATATGTATATATATATATAATGGGAATACATTAACTTGGTATTATTATTGTTTTTATTGATTATGATAACTTCTCATTCAAAGCATTAAAAATGGTTCTACTTGTGGACTCTGGAAGTACTCATGCATGTGTGAATTGCACACTCATACTAAACCATGGTGATTAAGGCTTTAGGAACCCAACCAACCATGACTTTGCACCAAAGAAAAAATTGCATTACTCGATAAACACCTAGATAATTATGATCAACAAGTGATAAAAAACAAGAAAGGATATCACATACTTACAAAGATCTAGTGCGAAGCAATGTTGTATATGGAGTTTTCTCCAGACTAGAGTCCTTAGCCAGCAAGAAGTTGGTTGTTGTCTGCTGCTAGATCAATTCCTCTTTATCTAAAGCAGATAAACGGTAAGCTATGTCAGTAATAGACCTCAAATTTGGCATTTGCAGAAAGTATGAACGCATGCATAATATGAAGATGCAAAAAATGCAATGGAAGAATGGTAAACAAGATCAAGAGCTCTAACAAATTGTGATGGGACAATGATTCCAAGAAGAAATTTTTAAAAATAACATAACTTCACAAAGAAATTCCGCGAATCTTCACCTCCATATAAAAACTCACATGAATTAAATACATAAGAAGAGGGATCAAGGAAGGACCTACTAGCAAGGAAAAATAGAACAATCTCACTGCATCCCCATACCTTTCTGCGAAGAGCGTACCAAAAGAGCATAATAAGAAATAGATGAGAGATAACATATTTTTCTTGAACAAATCAAGCATAAAAACACAAAAAATCAGGAGGGGGAACTTCCAAGAACAAAGTCCCTGACCACATTTCCTGAAACATGGCTAGCGGGAGTAACACTACAAAGAGGGCAAGAGTACAAGAGAATTTTCTACTCACCTTATCACCAAGACAAGCCCATGGTACTGATGGAATATGTCTAGCCTTTTTATAGATAAGCTTGAGGTGTTCCTTCATTTATTAGGAGCAATTTTTGAAGATTAGATTACGATTCAATGACAAGGAGTCGACATGCACACTTCCGATCTCAATGCATTTATTTCTAGTGCTATGTAGTGTATTCTTTAGTGATACATTATGTCATTTTGGTGTTGGATTTTTAGCACATTAAATTATATAATCGACCAATTGCTTTTATTTTGAAGGAATTTTCTCCCCCTGGTGGTTGGTATGACACGTGTGACACCCCTATGTGCCACAAGGCGCTTGTTTTGTGCCAAGTCTGAATTTGAGTGACATTTCCATGTACAAGGCTAGACAACTGGGCAACAACTCACATGCATAACTAAGAAATTACTCACTTCACATACTTTATCTGTAAGCTCTAAATTCTTGTACTACTATTCCTAATAAAATTTCCAATCAAGGAGCTGTGAAAAAAATATTGTAGCCAGTCAATTACCATCATGGATGTACACTTATTGCACACCAAGAATAACATGTTGTAGTTTACATACATACATACATACATACGTACATACATACATACATAGAGACATACATACACATACACACATACATACATACATACACATGTGTGTGAATAACTTTTGTTGGTGCAACAAACTCTAGGCCTGTTGCCTAGGCTATGCACAGGCACGGGAACGGGATTGAAGCACCAACCCAAGTCAGAGTACAAGAAACCAGGAGATTCGAAGGACCAACATGCATATCAGAAAAACCAAGAACGAGCCAAGGAATCGGGATATCGTCAAGAGAAGAAGCCTCCCTTGCCGGGCAGGCGAGCCCGGCAAGGGGCGAGACCACCCTAGAAACTGACAGCCAAAACATCCTGGCAGGGCCTGCCGGGTTTCACAGAAGCAAAACCACCTCACCAAACACTCTATCATGACCCGCGTCATCGATCAATGCGGTGTCAAGCCGCAAAGTGATTAAGTGGCAGCCATTCGCCACATGGCAGCTATTTCCTACAAGAGAAACCTGCAGATGACACCCCTCCTACAATGTGTCAAGAGAACAGGCGCGGAGCTGGCGAGATAGCCCGGCAAGCCTTGCCGGGCAACCAACGATGTGACGTTAAGCGGTGCATTTAATGCGCCCTGTCAGTCCGCAGAGTTAGGTATGATAGCATTGTTTGCTATCTTATCAGTGTGTAATGACTACTTTGCCACTGTGGTTACCCCTTGATCTATAAAAGGAGGCCCATGGCAACCGTAGAAAGGGTTAGAAGGTTGGATAACTCACAACCCATACGCACGTAGTCGCTGCTGCCTGAGGCAACCCTTGTCGGGAAAGTGTACTACGCACCACAACCACCTTTCCACCATCAATCCACCAAACCAGGAGTAGGGTTTTACGCCTCGCGGTGGCCCAAACCTGGGTAAAATTTCCTGTTTGATCTCTATTGCACTGCTCCACGCTTGTCTGCTCTTTGTGCAACGCGTCGCCCCCCTGCCGAACCAGCAAGGGACCTCCTGGTCCCATAGGTGGTCATGGTTTCCTGCGACATCTTTGGCGTGCCAGGTAGGGGGCTCACTTGCGCGAACCTGGAGGCGTATGCAGCGCGTCGACTTCATCACCATCTTCATCTTTGATGACGCCATCGACCATGGCGTCCAAGAAGAAGTCTGGTCCTTCAGCTCACCCGTCCACCTCGAAGGCTCTACCACCCGCGGCCTCCAACGCTGCTGGGGAAGTGGTCGGAGCAGGCGGCGCCGTTGCCACTTCCCCCACAGCCGATGCAAGAGCAGGGGGCACCGGTGGAGAGCAGCATCAACATATCAGATCTCACCTTTGCAAGTGATCGTGAAGGGATTGACAACCCCTTTATCACGTTGGGTGCAAGTGTTTGATTGTTTGTGCAGGTATTGGTGATTTGTGCGTTCTTCTCCTATTGAGTTGATACCTTGGTTCTTAACTGAGGGAAATACTTATCTCTACTATGCTGCATCACCCTTTCTCTTCAAGAGAAAAAAAAGCAACACAAGCTCAAGAAGTAGCAATAAGAATTTATGGCGCCGTTGCCGGGGAGATCTACGCCATATCAAGCCTACCAAGTACCCATCATAAACTCTCATCTCTTGCATTACATTATTCACCATTTCCTCTCCCCCACTTCTAAAACGATTTTCGAAAACATTTGCCTTTTTCTTAGCACTTCGTCCATTCATCTTTTTGTTTGCTTGCCCGTGTTACCTACCTTTATGGCTCAACCAAAGAATGTTGATCCTTACTGTAAGAGGTTAGCAGAAATTGAAAATAATGTTAGGAGCTTCATGTCTTTACAATTTGAGCATAATAGTTTCTTTAGAAACGAGCTTAAGGAGCAGAAAACTTTTATGCAGTATATGAATAAAGAGCTCGACCATATGTCTAAGGAATTTTATGGTTTGAAATCCTAGTTTGCTCATCTTGAAAATTTAGTAGGCCAAATTTCTGATAAGCAAGCTACTTTAGTAAGTAAGATAGCCGCTAAACCGGAGTCTTTGAATAATGATGAAGATCTTAAAGTGATTGATGTGACTCCTATTGAATCTTTGTTTTCTAAAATAAATCTTCATAAATATGGGACTGGAGATGACTCAAATTTATCTAGAAGGCGTCCCAATGATTCAGAGTTTATAGATCTTGATGCAAAAATTGATAAAAATGGGATTGGAGAGGTCAAAAATTTAAGTAGCAATGAACCCACTCTTCTGGATTTCAAGGAATTTAATTAATATAATTGTTCTTTAATAGATTGTATTTCCTTGTTGCAATCCATGTTGAATTCTCCTCATGCTTACAATCAAAGTAAAGCTTTTACTAAACATATTGTTGATGCTATGATGAAATCTTTTGAAGAAAATCTTGAATTAGAAGTTTCTATTCTGAGAAAACTTTACAATGAGTGGGAACCTACTATTAAGATTAAGATTAAAGATTATGAGTGCCATGCTTTGTGTGATTTGGGTGCTAGCGTTTCCACGATTCCAAAAACTTTATGTGATGTGTTAGGTTCCCATGAATTTGATGATTGTTCTTTAAATTTGCATCTTGCGGATTCCACTATTAAGAAACCTAAGGGAAGGATTAATGATGTTCTTATTGTTGCAAATAGGAATTATGTTCCCGTAGATTTCATTGTTCTTGATATAGATTGCAATCCTGCATGTCCTATTATTCTTCGTAGACCTTTCCTTAGAATGATAGGCGCAATTATTGATATGAAAGAAGGAAACATTAGATTTCAATTTCCATTGAGAAAGGGCATGGAACAATTTCCTAGAAAGAAAATTAAGTTGCATTATGAATCTATTATGAGATCTACTTATGGATTGCATACCAAAGATGACAATACCTAGATCTATGTTTTTGTGCCTAGCTGAGGGCGTTAAACAATAGCGCTTGTTGGGAGGCAACCCAATGTTATTTTTGTTCTTGTTTTCTTTTGGTCCTGTTTTCCAATAAATAATTCATATATCCTCTGGTTAGATGTGTTTTCTTGTTTTAATTGTTGTTTGTTCCAAGTAAGACATTTGGGATGGCTTACGGTGATAGTTGATTTGATCTTGCTGAAAAACAAAAACTTTTGCACTGAGGAAAACAATTCTCATTTTTAGCAGAAGCGTGATAAAATACTGATTTTTTTCGAAGAATATTAAGAAACAAATTGTCTCTGTTTTCCTATTTTTTCAGAATTTTTGGAGTTACAGAAGTATTCAAGAGTTACAGATTGCTACAGACTGTTCTGTTTTTGACAGATTCCGTTTTCTTTGTGTTGTTTGCTTATTTTGATGAATATATGGGTAGTATTGGGGGTATTAACCATGGAGAAGTTGGAATTAATACAGTAGATATTACACCAATATAAGTA